GTCTTCTAATCTTACGACAGTTAAACTCGTTTCTCCTAACCATTCAACGTTTGTTTCAAACTCAACAATAAATCATCAGATGTTCATCTAGTAGCTTTATGTAGTCTACTTTCATTAATTTCCTCCTCAGGGGGACTTCTGACGCGTGTCTTTGCTCGTCAGAAGTCCTAATGGGATTTCGCGCTCCTAGGGGGATTGTTCCTGAGCGCCCCACCGCTGAGCTCGCGGTGTCTGACTGTAGGTCTCAGCTGTGGGGTTAAGTTATTATGTAGGTAGGATTCCTTACGTTAAGTTATTATGTTGTTAGGATTCCTTAAATTGCATTAAGTTATTATGTAGGCAGGATTCCTTACATTAAGACATCAAGATATTATGTAGGTAGGATTCCTTACATTAAGTTATTATGTAGGTAGGACTCCTTACATTAAGTTATTATGTAGGTAGGATTCCTTACATAAGTTATAATGTAGGTAGGATGCCTTACATTAAATTATTATGTATAATGTATGTAGGATTCCTTACATTTCCCTTCTCTGTCTCTCTCGTGCGGGCGGCCGACGTCCCGTGTAAGCGACCTCTTGTTCGAGTGTCTTAGTTTCTGTTGCTTTTCACCTGTCCCTCGTTATTTCACCTGCCTCACTTATCGTTATTTTCAAATGGGAGTTGCCTTCAGTACAAAAATTATCAATTTTAAGGATCAGACCTTTTGTAGATTTGAAAGTTCGAACATGAGGTGTCCATATTGGTCCAATTATGAGGTTTGAATATGAGTTGCCCATTTAAAATTGTATAAAAATATTACGAATACACATTATTCATTATCAAGTATCATTATTCATTATCTTCATGTTTGGAGCATGAACGCTCATCTTTGTCTCGTACGCGTCTGATGACGGCCTGGGTTCAGTTTCACAGTCGATGCCGAGCCCGATAATTAATTTTTACAGCTCACAAATGTCAGTAGTTGTGATAAGGGCTTTGTTTCTGGCATAAGTGAGCTGTACTCGCATTCTTAGTTTCCATTTGGCTGATTATTTTTGTTATTGTCATGACTGTAGTCCTTCGTAATTTCTGGATAAATAGAACTGCTCGTATTATCGTCCGAACGGCTGCTCTCATTGTAACAAAAAATAATTAGCACTGCCAGCGAATAAATTTATTGTGTAGTCTTTGTAAATGTTTAATATATTGTTGCTTTATTCATGCGATATTTTTTACTGGATTTATCACTTGTTAATTCTGAAAATTTTTGCTGAAATAAATTATTAAACTCAAATTTTCATTATAGCACCTTTATTCCGTCATTAATTTGCGATGAAACCTAACTTAGTATTTCAGTTTTATTACCTTTCAAGAAAAATTAATTGTTTCGATCTTTTCCCCCTTTGCATGATCATTCATTACTCACAGGTGCAGATCTGGCTAAGCATGTCGAATCTTTTTGGGCATAAAAGCGGATATGGTTTTTTTCTTCCTTTTTAACACAGAGGCTGCTGCATTTTTTCGGTGTAAAGGTCAGGCTTTCCGCGTCCTGAACTACAATCCCACACGTTCTCCTTTGTCTAATTCTGCCTTGCCTTGTTTATTCCTGCCTTGCCTCTGTTTATTTCTGCCTTACCTTCTCTTATTTCTGTCTTAAAATCTGAGCGTAACTTAAACGTTTCAATTTGCTTTACTGAAAATTGACCTGCGAGAGGCGATTTTTTTCTCGTTACCTGTATGTCTGTTGAAGTGCAGAGTTTTTGTGAACCCAGACCCGAATTAACCTTCGCATTATATGCGACTGATTTGATGTCATTTGTTGTGTGTATATATATATAGCTGATGTGCTCCAGAAAAACTCACTTTAATTTAGGTTTCAAAATTATATGATATACACCTTCCGTTATAATATATTTATAAGTCCTCAACTTACTCTATAGTAATTCAAGACGTTAGAATGAAGTAATTAGGTAAACTAAATGTTTTATGTTAGCCACACCATTTTATGTATAGACGTTTGGCGTCATTTTCAACTTCTGTGTTAATTTATTTGCATAATGAAATTCCTCAAAGTGGAGTTTAAAATACCGCATTGTTCCTAGTAATCTCATGCCTTTCCATAGCATTTGCGTTCATTATCATTATTGAAATTTTAATTTATGATGTTTTTATTTTAGTTCTCAACCAACCTAAAAGTCAATAGAATGCGTTTTAAGAACAAAATTACAAGTAGCCCGAAATAAGGTAACTGAAGTCAGAGGAGCAAAGTGCGTGGACTTTTGTTTTGGAACCAGCGTATATTTGGCTACGGAAATGAAATAAAATCTCATACCTACTTCACATACGCAGTATAGTGATTGAAAGTAATGTTAATCCCTGTAGGTGTGCAGGGGTTACAAAATTAGGGACAAGCATTAAATATTCCGTAATATACATTTTAAGTATATGGTGTAGGTTCACTTTTAACGGCAATTGCAGCATTAATTCTTAAAATTATTGATTCGTACAAATTTTGGATTGTTAGTGGGCGACTGGTACCTGCCATAGGAGCACCAGCAATTAAGCCTCTTTGGAAGTTCGAGAGGTTCGCCTACTTTATAAGGTTATAATTGGACTGAAAAATTTTCTGAGAATATCTGTTGAAGCTTAAAATATCAATTAGTAGCACTAAAAACGGTGAAACGTTAAAATACGTCGGTTTTATTGCTTATACAATAATTAAAAAATGATGATCTCGCAATGATAGGGGTTTCCCTTATTATGCCCAACCCCTGCTTATTAGTTATAACGATTTAAGGCATTCGGAGGACTTTTTTTTTAGTTTTTTTTAACCCATTGGGTGTTTGTTACGGAGAAAAAAAATACATACATATATTATTTGTAATAATTGTGCTTCCTAGTTCAAAACAACTCGCAAAAAAAGCCTACACATTTTTGAGCATGCGCATTAATTATTGGCGCACATTTTGAACAAATTTCAATGTGCTGAGTCTATTTCTTCAAAAGTTTTAGAAAAACAGCTTTTTAAAAAGAATATATAAAAATGTATCACATGCAAACGACGTTCCCAGGGCAAGGACTTGCTGCATTCATGAAGTATTGAAGATATTGCCTGACGTTGTGTAGGATTTGTGAACAATTAAGCAGTCACCCCTGGTAAAGCGCCTACCCACGTGTTCTGAGGCTGTTTTTAATAAGGGCTTGGGAAGATACTCTTCTTGCATTTAGTGGCGTCCCAAGCTCGTCTCGGGTCATGAATGAACATGACCATGTCGATGGAACTATGTCGATAAAACTGGCCATGTCGATACAACTGGTCATGTCGATACAACTGATAATCTTTGGTGAGAGGCAATCATGACAATCTTTGGTGAGACACTATCATGACAATCTTTGGTGAGAGGCAATCATGACAATCTTTGGTGAGACACTATCATGACAATCTTGGGTGAGACACAATCATGGCAATATTTGGTGAGAGACAATCATGGCAATCTTTGGTGAGAGAGAATTTCAAAACCAAAGATTGTCTCTCACCAGAGATTGCCATGTTTTTGTCTCACCAAAGATACAAAAAATATAACTCAGTACTAACTGCAGTGAGTGACAGAGAGCGCATTTTCTCGTCGACGAAAACATGAAGTCACGGACGGACAGACAGACGGACAGACAGACGGGCAGAAGGACGGATGGACAGACGGACTTGGCGAGCACAATAGTGCATTTTTTCATAAATTGAGAAAATGCGCTAAAAAATCAAACAGCGAAAAGAAAACATGTCAAGACAACGTAATGAGTATGCTAAATGATCTTACTAAAACTTTGCGCAAACACGATTTTAGCACATGTCACTGAAAGTTCTATCAAACGCTTATGGCTACATCGATCTGTCTGATTTTTTGTGGAGAGATGCAGAAAAACATAGGGAACAAATTCTGACCTTTCAAATTTTTTTAACTCTATTAATTTTCGAATTATAGCCATTCAAAGTTGGGTATCGTTTTTTTTGGGACACCCTGTATATTTATTATTATGTGCGGTTTTTAAATGTTATAAAATAATGAATGAACTGAATTTTTGTGACAAGATCATTTAATGTAGGAAAACATGTGTTGTTATATAGTACTTGCATCTTGCATACACTCCACTCTGCGCTGAGGTCAACCTACTGAATAATATTCATGGGCTGTACTCATGCAGCAGGTGAAACGTTTGTACGACCATATGTGTGCTCTACATAAAGCTATGCCAAATGTTTTTTTAGAAAGTAATGTCGTTTGTTTCGGTTCTTCAATAAGCTTTGACTATTGTTTCAAAATTTCTGGTCAGTTTATTCGAGTTTACCCAGCTTCCAGTTGTGATTTGGTGTGCACTTTCGTGTGGACCATAATCATCAGTTGAGAGATAATTAAAGATCTCTCAAATGTTAGACAACTTCTTATCACAGTAGCATCTGTTATAAACCACTTGGTAATACATCATGTCTGAAATTTACGACTACTCGTTTGAAAGTTTATGGCCTTGCAGGAAATAGGTAATTAAGGAATACAATTGGAGAAATTCAGAGCAGTCCTTGCATGCCGATAAGATTATGGTAGTTGGCTATATTGTTATTCATCAATTAACTTAATTTATCCTGTTCATTTCTAACAAGTTTGCTTTAGATCAAGGTTTGTTATATATTACGAATTACTTGCTTGATATCTTGATAAGAAGATCTGTGGAAGAAGTTTACTCGAATTCGAAATTTTGTTTTTCATTGTTTTTTATCGTTCATTGGAGCTTAGAATATCTTCTATTGTAATTGTGTTATGTCAGAAAATGTAATGAAATTTTCCGACTGGTTCTAGTACGGATTCAATCTGGAACAAAGAAACTTTTGGAGCCAAAAATGTTGCCAAGTACGAAGTGGTGTGTTCTGGTACGTTTTTGAGCCGCAGTAGTTATAGGCCTAGTCGGCAGCCTATATAAGGAGCAGCCTTCACCAAAGTAGGTTCAATTGTGACTTCGGTCTCGTGGTGCGAACATCTCTGAGAAGTGCTCCTTATTCGTGGATACTACGGTATACTTCTGTAAATCTGCAATGGCTCTGGCATACGGTATGTGTTATTTAGATCTCGGTTTCATATTTAATGAAGAATTTCTCACCATTCTAGCTAGATTTTTTTATTTCAGCGGACGATGCTTATGGCGCGCATTAGTGCATCGTCACTTTATCCATTGCTAATATATAATTTTATTTTTGTCTTTATGTTGCTCGATATTAACCTGCGATTTTTTTTAAATTGGGTTAATTATTTGAAACGTTATTCCATTTTTCGTTTGTTCTAATAGCTTGAAGTGTTGGCTGTTTTCTTGTATCTTCCAATCTTTTTTGAAGTTAGAGTGATGCTATCATTTTCGCCGTTCAATGTTTCGGTACTATTATTTAATATATTTAATAAGATGCCCATATCAATGTGTTGTTACTCGTTAGTTTATTTGGTCTGAATTTCTATTTAAGTTCTTTGGAGTCGTCACTTGGAAGCACATAGCGGACAAGCATAGGATACATAGCGTCGCAAGAACACGTGGTGATCCTTCTTCCATTCACAATCTGAGCTCAGGCGTAGTACTATAGGCGGGCAGGGCGGCGGCTGTCCGCTGTAGTACAGCACTGCAGCTCAGTAACGTTTGTGGCGTCGTTGAGTGTGGGTGTGTCTAGGTCTTCCGAACGCGGCTGGAACGTTTTCACGTGTCTTCCCTCATTGCTTCGGGAATTTGCAGTTTGGAAATTTTACTTGATGCGGTGCCACAACATGTGTAAATTCTATATATATATATTCGAAAATTGAAATATGTTATCAAACGTCGCACTATCAACTGCTGAACCTTAATACATAACATTCATTCTTACTGTCGATTCCGATTAGGCATCTAAACTATTCATAATCTCCTCTTACCTTTCGCGATTTCAACTGTAAAATACGGTAAACATCTTTGAAGTTAGCTACGTTCGTTTGATACACAAATCTCCAAGTCATAGGATTGCAAAAGCAAAGCGCGTTGCCAGATTTGTACTATGATTGTGTTGTGTAAAGCGCCGCTGTGAACTGCTGAATTCTCTGGGTCTCTTGAGAGCAACTTTCTGAGAAGATGACTTGCGTCCTGCTGCATGGCGCGCTCGAGATCATTCTTAGGAACCGTGTGTTGTGGTTTCTTTTTCCAATTTCTTTTATTTCAAATGTTTGCATTTCCTTTCAAATGTTTGCATTTACTAGCCTGTAGCAGTATTCACAACAGATGTGTAGTACCCAGACTTGTGTTTTCGCGCGGACTAAGATAATCTTATGATATTTTGAGATCTAGTCAGGTCATTTGTAGCGAATTTTGTTTACTGGTTTATAAATTACGGCTAATTTGAATATAAATAAAGTATTTGATTTAAGTTTGTAACCGATTCTAAAATAATTTAAGAACATGAAATTCGTTCTCACCTGCTAGGAATTTCATCTGAACACAAATATTGGTAAAATGAATTTCAAAATTTTAATTTCATGGTTCAAGAGAATTTCAATGAGAATTGTTGCATTGAATAGGACGTTCGCAAGTATAAGGGACGTCACTAGGGACGTTGCCAAGTAAGGGACGTCACTAGGGACGTTTGATTGTGTTGTGTAAAGCGCCGCTGTGAACTGCTGAATTCTCTGGGTCTCTTGAGAGCAACTTTCTGAGAAGATGACTTGCGTCCTGCTGCATGGAGCGCTCGAGATCATTCTTAGGAACCGTGTGTTGTGTCTCCTTTTTCCAATTTCATTTATTTCTAATTTTGCATTTACTTCGGGCTTGATTATTGCATTTTTTAGGCTTGATGGAATGGTTATCCTCATAATTTGAACACTTGAATTATAAGTTGAATATGTATTTTTTTCTTTTTTTTTCGGTCGAATTTGAAATCTTATTCTAGACTAGTTTATTTTTGGTAGGTATTTATTTTTAGTGGACCTAAGCTCTGCTTAACGTGCAAGTTTCCCAACTTTTTTCTAAAAGAACGAACTAGATTTATTATTAGCAATATTACCGGTACTCATATTGGTACAATTTACTTCATTATTCCCTGTGCTAGTTTCGTATTAATTCTCGCGCAAGATGGCGATCTCAATTATAAGCCGGTAGCTAGTTATGCTTATAGTTTGTATTAGTGAAATTTCGCAGTGCAGCTTATGCGCAAATGGAGGGCTACTGGAACGTGATCGAACATCGCATGCGGGAGTTCTAGGCCGCGGTACAAGCTTTTGATGGTCTGGGCGACGATTTGGGGTAAACATGGAGCACTGAAGTGCGCTAGCAGTGGGTATACGGGGCAAGATTGTTGAGACTAAGAAAAAAAAAGCTCTGGAGGCAGCAGCAGCAGCAGCAGCAAAAGGAGGTGGGTGTTGTAGGGGTGGGAGGAGGTTGATCTGGCATATCAGGTGAGGTAGCATCTTGTGCGACGCACGAGTTGCGGTGTCGGTCGCTGTCTGCTGCCCAGCACGACTGTTCAGTGATATTGATTATCATTTAATTTTCTTTTACCGTTCTTCTTGTTGAATCACCTTAATTATATTAAGTGTGTCATAGTTCAAACTGCGATGCTCGAGTGATAACCGTGTACGTCATGATGAAGGCGTGTACGTAGAGCTGCAGTTGACGCACACACAAGCTGTCGTCTCGTGCATAGAGCTGCGTGTCGCGACGCCGTGTACAGAACTTGAGTGCTTCAGTCTGCTATGCAGCGCCTCCGTGTGCGGTCGTCTGGTGTTGCATGCTCGTGTCTCAGAGACGTTCCCACACTATGTGCACGAGTTAGGTTCTCCTACTGCGCAGTAGCAGTATTCACAACCGATGTGTAGTACTTAGACTTGTGTATTCGCGGTGACTAAGATGAGCTCATGATATTTTGAGATCTTGGTGTGGTAATGTGTTGCCAATTTTGTTCACTGGTTTATAAGTTACGGCTAATTTGAAAATAAATAAAGTAATTTATTTTTGTTTGTAATCGATTCTAAAATAATTTCAGAACATGAAATTCATTTTAACCTGCTAGGAATTTCATCTCAACACAAGCATTGGTTAACTAAACTTCAAAATTTTAATTTCTTTATTCGAAAGAATTTCAATGAGACTTGTTGCATTGAATGGATTCACTAGGGACGTTGCCAAGTAAGAACAACAGCATCGCACCAAGCCCGCCGCATTCGTGTGCTAAAGACACACACCAGCACCGTGCTGCTCGTGATGCTAGGGCCAACAAAACTGCGATCACAACTTATTTATTCCCTTTGTCGAGACCATCGGCCGACAGAATCTCGATACTCTCTCACTCCACGCTTGTGCATGAGGTAAAATATCTTCATGAGATGCGAACAACCTCATTATAACATATGTTTTCTCCTTATACATAGTTCCGTTTTTTCGCGAATGCCTTGTCGTAGTTTCTTAGAATAGGTGGTTTGAACTCGGGATTATTTTGCTGTTCGTTGCCCCTACACTTCAAATGTGCTGCTCATGCGTTTACAATCAAATGCTCGTCCTGGAATAAGGCAGTGAAAATTCTCAATTTCTATTTCACTTGTTATCATTTATTGGACCGAATGAACTACACCCCTCCAAATATTCAAGCATTAATTTATAGAATTTATACTATTGATTAAATTACATGCTGAATCCTGCTTGCTTAAAGCTCTCACTCTACGTGCTCCTTGAGACTATAATGTCTCAAAATTTGCACTGGTTTTTAAAATCGCAATTCATGTCATGCTTTCACATGCAGCGCAATGAACGTTGCCGCGCACCATTCATGCAGAGCGGGCATTTAACTATCCTCTTTGAGCGGGTTTCTCCCATCACACTTGCGTGGTTGCTGACGATCTTTGTGTGGATCTCGGCATCGGCTTAGCTGCATGCAAGTCACAAGCTGAGGAGACGAGACCGGTCTGGTGAGGTGAAGACGCCGAGATCGGCGGGCTTAGTCTTCCAACATAACTGGTTACCTCGACTCTCTTCCCTCGCGCATTATCTATCTTTCTATGTCTATCTTGTGATAGATATGCCTCACGATGGCCTATTTTGGCCTCGCATATGTGAAAATAATTACGTGTTCTCTGACTGACGCACCAGTAATTATTATGATTACTGTAATGTAGAAAATGTTATTATGTAACGCTCGAATAAACCAGTTTTCCGTCTCTTTGTTAGGGTATTACACTTCTTTAAAGGCATTAACAAGAATATATAATATCGATTGAACTGGACGTGTCTGAGCGTCTGGGTATAGTAAAGTACTGTCTAGTATGACCGGCAGATTGCTACACTGAACTGAACTATCAAGTTGCGAGTGCCTGCAGCGGCTCACGATGCAGATGTATGTCAGGCTTCCTTGTTTTACAGCTGCAGTATTGCGACTTGGTAATGTCTAGTCGAAACCGCATGTGTGGCTCAGTCTGGCCAAGTTACATTACTGCTCAACATGCACTAATTTCACGAAAAATATTGCTTCACATTCTTTAATGATTTCCAGTACCTTTTAGCTTCTTTGTATTTTTTATCAAGATTTTTTAATTATACTTGAAATTTGGCTCCTTTGTTCATCCGCACTCGACGTTATTTAGAATGGTTTCGAATTCGTACATTAAAATAAGTATTTCATTCTATTCTCTTTTTATGGCTTGGTTTCTTTCCTCATAAGTTTTTTTAAGTGAATGTTCTATAGAAACATTTAGTTTCTATTTCACCCTAGTGCAGCGCATTCTGTGTCGTGTATCATGCTACCTTCCCGAAGTATTCTTTATTCTGTTGCTTTAGCGATTTTTTTATTTCTCCGTTGACACTTATTTCTT